TGTGGATGGTGAGGGCAACGATGGTTTGAGGAGGTGAGAGTACACATCCCTTCTCAAATCTAAGCCCTAGCACGCCACTTCTAGCTGTCATAAGGGGATCCCTGCAAAGAAGTAGGTGGCCTCCTGGGCAGTGGAAACCAAAGGAACTGGAGGAGAAAGGAGGATGGAAAGCTGACCCTCCCCTGGGCATCTGCCCTCTGCCACCACAATATTAGACCAGACGCATCTTTAAGGAACTGGGGTGGCTAATTGCTTTCAAATTGGCCAATTTGGGACAGGTTGGAAGTGCACTACCTGGGCAACAATCTGAGGCCTCATAAGGCTCCCATCCTTCTCTCTCTCTCTCTCTCTCTCTCTCTCTCTCTCTCTCTCTCTCTCTCCCGGGTCGGGTTTGTGCCTACTCTCCTCATCCTGGCAGTGGGAAGTGCAGTGGACCAAGACAGAGCCAAACTCCTCTTCTTTGAGAATGTGGGGGGTGGAGGGCCTTCCGCGGGCGGTGGGGCTCATTAGGCAGAGCAGGGTGCCGAGAGGTGCGCGCGGCCAGCCCCGGAGGCCGCCTTTGAGCCATCCGGGCGGCTTCATTAAGCGGCGCTAACAAGGCATACAAATGCCGGGCCCAGCAGCTTTCTTGCCGTGGCGGGGCCTTAGCAGGGCGCCAGGCTAATGAGGGTCACTCAAAGGGGCTGATCAAATATTCAAATTTCACCGCACGCCGGGAACTTTTATGTGCGGAGAAAGTTGAGGCAACTGAGTTGTGTTTACTGTTCCCGGCTACAATTGCTCAGAGCGCGGGTCCCTAGAGGCTAAGGCGGGAGGCGGGGGTGCAGGGAAGGAGCAGTTGTTGTTGTTGTTGTTGTTGTTTTTCAATCAAAGGAAAGTAATCGGGGTCCTTGATGGGCTTCGCGGCCACCCCGCCTGAGTGCTGCGCTCCTCTGCGCCCTCCTTCGCCTCCCGCGCCTAGAGCCTCCGTTTGTGGCTTGCAGGGAGGCCCAGACCGCGGGCCACCGGGCTAGCCCCCACCTCCAGTCGGCCTGGGTGCTGGAAGGGGTGTTGCCCCTCAGGACAAACCTGCGTTAAGGAGCTGAGCAAGGCCCAGTGGGTGCACCTGCCCCAGACCTCGGGCCTTCTTCTCTCCGAGGCTTGCAGACCCCTTGGTTTTCGCGTTAACCCCAAACAAGGAGAGAGTGGGAGTCTCGAGCACCTCTCCCGGTGGTTGTGTGAATGCTGGGATTGGAGCTGACATTTGTAAATAAGTGCCCAGTAGGTTCTAGTAGAGAAATACACTCTCCAGCCCAAATGCCCTTTCACCACCTGTACGCCGTTCTTCCTGCCGTCTGGGCCAGAACTGAACAGGGATAATGGTGGCAATTTTGTGACCTCGGCCTGTAAGGGCGTTGAGTCCCAGATGTCGGAGTCTGAGCGGCCCAGACGGCAGGGGAGACCTAGAAGACCCGCAAGCAGACCCATCCATCTGAACACCCCTTTCTGAGAGAGACCCAGGGTGCAGGCGCCCCCTACGCGCCAACCACTCCTGGCGTTCCCCATATTCATCTCCTGGCCTTCTCGCAGCCCAGCTCCTCGGGACACGAGAGTGACAGGGAAAGCGGCCTGGGCCCCGGAATCTGGGGTCCTTCAGCTTCTAACACCCTTCCCAACGCTCAGTCTGGGAATTTGGGAGGGGAAACTCCGGTGCTCCAAAACCCCTGCACCCCCTGGGTCCCCGCACACCAGTCAGCCCTACTAGACCGAGACCCTGAAGAGCCAGAGCTCCCAGATCGGCCCGAGCTGTCTAGTCATCCGCCCCGGGACCGAACGCCCCGCCTTCCTCCCCAGCTCTAGGGACTCGCAACTTACGAGCTCCGGGCGGCGGGCGTGGTGCTTTGGGCCAGAGCCGAGAGGTGCTGGCGGCAGCGGGACCACAAGATGGGCTCGGTGGGCGGCGAGGAGCGGGGCTCGGCAGGATGACTCTGACAGCTCGGACTACCGATCCGCCCCGCTGCGCCCGGCCCTGTCCTGGAGCACAAAGCTGCGCGCCTTGCCACCTCCCTCCTCAGGGCTTTGCACTCCCAAGCCGCGGCCGCTACGGGAGAAAGCGTGCGGCAGGTCGGCAGACTCCCCAGCCGAGGTTGGGACAGGGGTGTCGCCCAGCTGAATATCAGCCCTACTTGCCTCAATTCTCCTTGAGTGGCGAAGGTTTTCGATTTCAGCACTTTCGGCAGAGCCTGCGGCACCTGCCCAGCCTCCCTCCGGGCCGACCGCGCAGCGGCGGGAGAGGCCCTATCGCCCCCACCCGGAGGCGGGGGTTCTGGGGATGGGAGGGGAGGGGACTGGCTGGGTCTACCCGCCCGCCCGGCGCCTGGGTCCTCGGCTCCAGGGGATGCAGTTTCGGGGTCACGAGCTGCTTTCAAAAAGTTGAACACAATATTCGGAAACCCACCCGTAGGAATTCTCCCCCCACACGCGGCACAATACCCACTCCCCTCCCCCTTTTCATTCCTTCCTCCCCTGCTTCCTCCTCCTGCCCCTTCTCCCTCCCACCCCTTCAGCCTATAATCCTTCCCCTACGAGAGAAAGAGATCGGGAAGAAAAGATGAAGTGTCTGTTTTTGTGTCCCAACCTTAGGGCTCTTTCTGAACGACCGCCCAGAGTTTCATCGCTGAGCAAAAAAGGACCCACGGCCAGGAGAAAGATATATGGAGGGGAGAGATCACCCCAAGTAGGGCTTGGCCGGTCTTCCCTTTGGGCGAATATTTTCCGGCCTCAGTCCGCGGATTTAGGACTAACGGCCCTCAGCTGCCTCGGGCTGAGCTGGCCAGTATTGGCCCTCCCGCCCTGTCCAGAACCTCCCTGCCGCTTCGGAACCTCCAAAGCAGTTCGCGCTTCTGCGCCCAGGAGGCCTGGTGCTTGGGGAGTCAAGACTTCAGGAAGGCCAGAGCTTGGGGGTTTAGGGTTTGAGACGCTCACAGCCCCAGTCACGTTAGTTTTCCCATTTAAATTCTCTCAATCTCTCTTCTGTCATTGAGATCTCCAAAGTGCTGCGGACTCGGCACTTCGCTCCCAGATCTGCATCGGAATGTAGAACAGATCTTAAAAAAAAAAAAAAAAAAAAGTTTTGAATTCCTCAATGATTTTTCTTCTGGAAAGGCAGCTTAGGATAATTATGTCAGCTTTATTGAGGGCAGATTAGTTGAAGTCTGGATGCTGCGTTTCAATACACGTTGTACACGGGCCGACAATGTGGGCATTGTTGGCTACTGTGTGTGAACTCATTCAAAATATACACTTTTAAACACCAAACCGAGTCCTGTCTAAATATACACAGTGCTCAGGGAAAAGATGTCTGTGACCCCGACAAATCTGCGTAAATCACACTTCCATAGTTACAGAAGCCTCACAAAGGGAGGCCTGGCTCAAGATGCTGATTACATCTTCTTAAAAGCGACATACCTTAGAATAAATACTCATGCTGGGTCTGGGGGCTGCAGTGGCCAGAGGGAGGGAGGGCTCTCTCCATTCTATGGGCCTTTTGGGGTCTGTTTTAAGCTTGTGGTGTTATTTTCCTTAGAAAATTTGACAGTTTATTGTTATTTTTACAATATAAGCAAAGAAGCAATTTTCAGGCCTATCCACTTCTTTGGGGCAACCTCCAAAGTTTGAGTGCCCTTCTGGAGCTGGGTGGCAGGCACAGAGCTCCTTCGGAGGGTAGCGAGCATGGGGGCTGCTCCTGTGGGCTCCCAGGCTTCTCAGTTTGCGAACCTCCTTCATAGCTCCCGGGGGAAGCGCCGAAGTCTAGGAGGAAACAAAGAGGAGGGTTGCTTTATCAGGTGGAAAGAAATGTACTGTTATTTCCACTACTATTTTAAAATTCGGACAATACAGGAAATCAAGGCTTTTTGAATTGGGGGTGGGGGGCAGTTCCAGTGCAGAGGAAGTTAGGTAAACGTGGCCATAATCAGGCAGGGGAGGCCAGAGCAGTTTCCAGAACCCTACTCTGGCTCCCAGGCATCCGATGCTCCCCCAAATCCTAGATAATGGAGCACAGCAGCCTGCACGACCCGGGTTGGCTCACAGTGGGCTCCATGATCTCATCTCTCCTTTCTTCCTCTCCACTATTAGTGCTCACATAGGCAGAAAGAGGCAGCCCGACGTGCACACCATGTGCAAACCATGTCCACCTCTGCTATCCCTCCGCCTCTCTTTTCGGGCTGGCCCTTGGCCTTCATGTAGCATGAGAAGCCTCTCACCTCCCAACAAAATCCCCCCATTTAATTGCTCATCCCATGCAACAACTCTATACCCAAGGCTTTTTAAATTTCTGGATCAACTTCTTTGGAGAAGTGGGAAGAAGGGAACTCAGAGACAGTGAGAAAAGGAGAGAGAGAGAGAGAGAGAGAGAGAGAGAGAGAGAGAGAGAGAGAGAGAAGCGGGGGACGTGGCGAGATTAAGAGTTGCAAACATCAAAAAAAATTCTTTCTACCCCTTCTCGCTCCCCCCCCCCCCCTCGGCTAAGTGGTAAAACCGTCCTTACGTTCTCGGTATTGATTGGCAGGGCTGACAGTGATTGGCAGTGGTTGCCGTGGCAACCCTACAACGACACTCCGCAGACCAATAGAAAAGCGAAACAAAATGTTTCAATGCTGCACTCACTGTGGATTTAGGGGAGATATTATGAGGCTGTTGTCATTAGGGCGATTGCTGTGGAATCGCTGAATCTTGACTCGGCGGTGGTTGGCTCTCGCTCTCCTCTCGCTCTAGCTCTCCCTCTCCCTCTCTCTGTCTCGGGTTCGCTCTCTGCGCGCGCGCACCGGGCCGCTCTCCTTCCTCTCTCTCTATGTGGCTGCGCGGGTGTGTGTGTGTGTGGATGTGTGTGGGGTGTGGGTGTCCCTTACGCCCTTCCTCCTCCCCCTCCTCCTCCTCCTATTCCCCCCTCCTTTCCTTCTCCTCCTCCCCCCTCTCCTCTCCCTCCTCCTGGTCCTCATCGCCCCTCTCCTCCTCTTCCTCCCCTCTCTCTTCCTCTCCCTGAATTTTCTCCTCTCCTCTCAGGTCAGTCCATGGTATTCCGCTCCCCCCTAGACCTCTATTCCTCCCACTTCTTGTTGCCAAACTTCGCCGATTCTCACCACCGCTCCCTACTTCTGGCGAATAGCGGCGGCGGGACCGGTGCGGGAGGCGGCGGCGGCGCGGGCGGCGGCGGCGGCGGCGGCGGCGGCGGGAACTGTGCGGGAGGCGGCGGTGCTGGCGGAGCAGGCGGCGGCGGCGGCGGCGGCGGCTCCAGGGCCCCCCCGGAAGAGTTGTCCATGTTCCAGCTGCCCACCCTCAACTTCTCGCCGGAGCAGGTGGCCAGCGTCTGCGAGACGCTGGAGGAGACGGGCGACATCGAGCGGCTGGGCCGCTTCCTCTGGTCGCTGCCCGTGGCCCCCGGGGCGTGCGAGGCCATCAACAAGCACGAGTCTATCCTGCGCGCGCGCGCCGTGGTCGCCTTCCACACGGGCAATTTCCGCGACCTTTACCACATCCTGGAGAACCACAAGTTCACCAAGGAGTCTCACGGCAAGCTGCAGGCCATGTGGCTCGAGGCGCACTACCAGGAGGCCGAGAAGCTGCGCGGGCGCCCGCTCGGCCCGGTGGACAAGTACCGCGTGCGCAAGAAGTTCCCGCTGCCGCGCACCATCTGGGACGGCGAGCAGAAGACGCATTGCTTCAAGGAGCGGACTCGGAGCCTGCTGCGGGAGTGGTACCTGCAGGACCCCTACCCCAACCCCAGCAAGAAACGCGAACTGGCGCAGGCCACCGGCCTCACTCCCACACAAGTAGGCAACTGGTTTAAGAACCGGAGGCAGCGCGACCGCGCCGCGGCGGCCAAGAACAGGTCAGTGCCGGGGCCCCGCGGCCTGGCTACCGTCTCCGGGACCCGGGAGGGGGAGAAAGATTGAAATGGGGGTGGTGGGTCAGGGTGCCAGCGGCTGCGGAGCTTCAGAGAAGCCACTACCCCCTGGCCAGTTGAAGAAAGTTTCCTCTGGCCCAGGCGCGCGGAAGAGGGGCGGGCTTTGGGTTTACTGGTTGCTTTGCCCGAGCGGGGGTTTCGTCAGGGTGGAGAGAGTGTGTGTGTGTGAGATCCTGAGTGCCCACAGCCCCTGGTCCCAGCCCCTGGGAGCCTTAGCTCTGTGCTGCACCCGTACCGCCTCTTCGGCCCAGTCCCAAGCTCGAGACTGCTCGGGAGCCTACAGACGGGGAAGGAAGGAAAGAAAGTGCTCCTTGCCATCTGGTTCTTATTTTCATGCATTGCACAAACCGGGGGAGGGATCCACAAATGTCAGGGAGAGGACCCACAAATGTTGGGTCCCTGCCACAAAGGGAAAATGCTGGCGGCCAGCACGCAGCAGGCCTCCTTCCCAATGCCTTGCAAGTTGCTTTATCAGGAGCAGGAAAGCAGGGCTGGGAGGGGAGAAGTCATGTGTGTGTGTGTGTTAGCCCTCCTGCCCCAACCAAGGAACATCCCCTTGGTCCACTAAATTGCAAAATGGACAGGAGCCCTTTTGCTGCCCACAAGTTGGCCATAAAATCACAAAGTTGTACTGGGCTTGACCAGTCAGCAGAGTTTTGCCTGGGGGAAGTAGGGAGAAAAATAACCAAGGAAAGATGGGGAAAGGAGAAAGGAGAAAGGAGTAGGAATGAAAGAGGGAAGGGAAGAAGTTGGTTAAGAGCCCAGATAGGAAACCTGTGTTCCTGCACAGCCTGGATGGGTGCTGGGCCTGGTGTATAGCAGGGAGCAGGGCCCTCAGTACTGACAGGTGTGGGGGCTAGGGGGCTGGGTGTGAGTTCCTGGAGTGGTTTGGTGCGTTCCTGTTTAGCTGTCCCAGGCCTGAGCCTTCAGCCATCTCACCCAGCTTTGGAGCCAAGTTTTCGCCCGATGGGGGGAGTACCCAGGTCCATGGGGAAGGCCCCTTTGTAGGGAGAACTCAGAGACACTACGTCCAGGCCGCTGTTGCTTAGCCCTAGGAAAGGAGCAGCGGGAGACTGCTCTGCTCTTCCCTTCTGACTTCTCGTCCCCCTTTTTTTCTCCCTCCTCTTTCCTGTTTTCTGCCCCCAGCTTCCGTGTTTTCTCTTCCCCCGATCCTGCGCTTTGCGCAGGGAACCCGAGGGCAAAGCCAGCCCAGTCCTACTCCGGGAGTGTGTTTGGGGGGCTGGGGCAGGAGGCACAGCGGCGACCAGACTGCTTTTGCGGTAGACGGCTTAATTTGAGGAGTGCCAGGGGCTGCTCCCCTACTTCTGCTCATTCGGGGCCGGGCGTCCTTAGCTGTGTGCGCCCAGGCCGCCCCAGGCGGCCGGCCTCGGGTTCTGCCTCTCCTCCGAGGCCGACCCGGGTCTGGAAAGCCTTGGGAAGCTCGAGGGCGCCCCGGGGAGGGCAGGGAAGTGTCAAGATCCGTGCCAGGGAGGTCCTGCGGCACTCAAGAAGCACCCTGGTACTTGGAGGAGGGGATGAAGGCTGAAAGAGGAGTAGGGGGCGGTAGCGAAGGGCGCAGAGCAGAGGAGGCCGGGAGCGTAGGCGGCGGCAGGCCCTGCTCCTGCGGATGGGGCCCGGGAGGTGGCTTGGAGGAGCCGGGTGGCGTGGCCGCTGTGTCAGGATAGGCGCTGCTCTCTGTCTTCTGCAGGCTCCAGCACCAGGCCATCGGACCGAGCGGCATGCGCTCGCTGGCCGAGCCCGGCTGCCCCACTCACAGCTCGGCAGAGTCGCCGTCCACGGCGGCCAGCCCCACCACCAGCGTGTCCAGCCTGACGGAGCGCGCGGACACCGGCACCTCCATCCTTTCGGTAACCTCCAGCGACTCGGAATGTGATGTATGATACCCAAGGCCGCCCTCCTCCCCCTCCTCCTGTTCCTCATCCCCTGCTCCTCCTCAACCTCCTCTTCTTCCTCCTCCAGCCCCAGAACAAACTGGTATCAGGATACACCCCCATACACACACAAGTACACACACACTCCCACCCCAGCAAAAACAAACAAACAAACAAACAAAAAAAAACAAAAAACCATATAAAAACCAAGAAAAATAAATTTATCGCAAATCATCAACAACCCCCAACCACCATTTACCACCACGGCCACCCCAAAGGACCACGACGTCAACAGACAGTCACAAACGCTGATGTTGTGGGCAGCAAACATAAAAGAGGTGACAATTGTATACTTTCTAGGACAAGCGCGGCTTCTCCTTTCGGTTCCCACGGACCGGCACCCCACCTGCATGACGATTTATTTGTATCTGGGAAAATACTCTCTCTAGTTTAAAACGATTTAAAAAGAGTCGACTATACAAAAACCGACCACCACCACGATGACAAGACAACAAAAGCAAAAGAGACAAAAAGAGAAAAAAATAAAACCGCCATCTCCGTTTGGAATTTGTTTAAAAAGAAAGAACTCCTGGAGAGGGAAATAGCAAATGTTTCTTGCCTTTTGTTGCTCTCTCTCTCTCTCTTTTTCCTCTCTCTTGATCTCTTTCTTTCTCTCTGTTTTTAAGTCCAAGTATTGGTCAAACAAGATGCAATTTTCTGTTTTTTTGTTCAGCAGACAATCATTTTCTTCGTAAGCACCTTTTTCTCTCCACTCTGTCACTGCCTGTGTGGGTACTGGTTATAAATGTGGAAAAAGAATAGTTATGACTGTAACAGATTTTTATTTTTATTTCAAAATTTTATATGAATTATGTATATCTTAATGATCGGTCATTTTCCCAGTTTGTAATATATGTGTAGAAATTGCCTGTATATGATAATTGCTTTTTCTCCTCTCCCTTTCTCTTTCTTTCTCTCTTCTTCCTCCTCCCCGCTCACCTTTTTCCTTTTGGGGGTTCCTCTCCCACTCGGGTTCCAGGCGTCGACTTGGCAGTTCAGGTGGGCTCGTGGGGCTGGGGTAGGAAGGAGGACCCTGTCGCTAGCAAAGCGGAGTGAGACCGTAGTATTCTTATGCAAAAGCTATTTCAAGTTTTCCTAGCTGCTTTGGAGATATCTCTCACTCCCCATAGGGCGCTTTTACTGTTATCTTAACTGCGCGTTTATCTATATGTAAAAACTTTCTAAAGCAAATACAGTATTCTCCATTTTCTTATCATTCCTGGAGACTGGTGTTTTTGTCCGACCCTGTGCCGAGGCCGGGGTGCTGCGGCCCGGCCTGCCTTCCACTCCAGAAATGCCGTCCAATCTGGGGCAGGACTTTAAAGCTGAGTCTGAGCATTTTTCCTGGAGAAGGGAGGGGAGAAAATGGGACCGAGCCCTTCGGAAAAGAACCAAAGCCAAATTCTAAGTGAAAAGGCAGAAAGGGCATGGGGGGAGGAGGCTATGGCTGAGTTCTTAAGTGCAAGCTGCCAGGCCCTGATCCCTGCTGAGGCCCTTCTGGGTCTTTGAGGGAGTGTTTGGTATCTCTTGGTTGTTGTTGCCTTTTTTTTTTTTTTAAGGAGAAACACACAAGGTCACCAAATCCAAGTATCCACCCAGAGCCCAGATGGCAAGTTTTGTCTTCTTTTTCTTTGGGGGGCGGGGGGCAACTGTAGCCCAGGAGGGGAGGGGAGAGAGAGTGAGGCAGAAATAGTTTGAGGAGTTCAGGGTCTAGAATCAGGATGGACCCCTTTCTCACCACCAACTGGATGACTTGCCTTATGGGTCTTCATCCATCTCCCTGAAATTTCTTCCCCTCTCTTGGGATCTACTGGAGTCCCTTGAACCCCAAGACATTTCAGAGTCGATTTACACTTTAAAACAGGAACCAAAAAAATCACTGGTCCCGCTGGTCCCAGGCCTCTCTGCCCTGTGCAGGGCCCCCGCAGTTCCCTGGGATGGCTGTCTGGTGGTGCCTCTGCTCTGGGCTGGGCCAGGCCAGCCTGTGCTGAAGGAGGAGCCCTAAGCAGTGATTTCAGAAAACTTGCCTTCACTTGAAAGTCCAATTTCCAAAGCGTGCAGGATTAGGGAGCAACCAACGTGCCTGGAATATTGCGCCTGTTTCTGAACTAATTTTGACTTCTGATTTCCTTTTGTCTCCATCACTGGCAGCACCAGGGGGTTTATGCTGGCTGGCTGGAGAGAGGTGGCCAGACCCAGAGGTGCCTCGGGTGTGCAAGCAGGGTCTTGTGTGCCCAGGTCCCCTGTTTGCCGGAAGCGGAAGGTCTACTCGAGCGTTTTTATTTAGAACCAGGGCATCCAGACAACCTCTAGAGCTTCCAGGTTCTGTGGCCTGTCCGAATCTCTGCGTGTTTACCGCCCTGGGAAACGGTCCTCATGATGCCACAGTCCAGGCAATATTGACCCGTGTCGAGGCATTTGGAGAAGGGGCTGCCCAGCTTCTACCCAGCTTGAGCCTCTGTTCTGGTGCAGAAAATGATGTCCTGGAGGAGGGGATCTGTCCCCTACTCTTGTTTTTAAATGGCCTGTCCCATATCTTGGGCCTGGAAACCCAGAGGAGTGGCTGCCTCAGACAGCGTGGAGCATCTGGAGGGACCCCACCGGCTGCCTAACCAGATTTACGGTGGAAGGAAAGGCATGGCAGGCGGGAAGAGTGACTCCTGGGAGGGCCTTGATGCTGACACTAGGGAGCAGATGCCTTTTGGTTTGGGGACAGGGGACAAACCTGTGGAGTTGTAATCCTTCCCTCAACGTACCCTACAGAGAAAGCAAGTTTTGGGCATCAGTGCCCATTCCTCCTCCACTGCAGAAAGGAGGCTGTGAGACCCCACCGCAGCCTTCAGCCCTGGAGGCCTGGGCCCTGCTGGGTGTCACCCACCTGCTATCGGCCTGTCTTGCTCTCTAGCATCTATCACTCCTTCTCATCTCCTGTTTCCACCCAGGTCTGTACAAATACACTCTACTCTGCACTTTCTGACCCTACCTACAGATTCCCCACAGACGAGGTAGGAGTGCTTGCTGTGAGTGGTGTAGATGTGTGCAGTTCTGAATGCTGGGCTTCCACCGTGTGATCAAGGTCTGCATATAAAGTGGTGTGTGTGTGTGCGTGTGTGTATGTGTGACGTTTGCATTAAATGTGTGTACAGTGCGTCGGTGTGTCCAGCATGTGTTTTCATGTATACAGCCTATAGTGTGGGTATTTGTGTGTGGCTTGGGCAGTTTATATGTGCCTAGTTCTGCAAGGTGCCTTCCGTGCACCTATAGGGTGCTGTGCATGCAGGGTCTTTCTGTGCAGTGGGCATGTGTCTGTGGGACTCAGGTGTGGATATGTGTGGGTTCCCTTGTTCTAGTCAACCAGCAGATATGACCACCAGCCCCCCCCCCCCCATAGGCCGCCTCTCCCTCTGAGGAATGGGTATTCTTTGACTGGAGGATAGAAGGGAGTTGGGCTCGATGGCCTTCCCAGTCCACCCTTTACCCTGATACACTGTGGATATTACGTTGGATTTGGCCCTGCCTCTTTAAACAGCTGAGTGAGGGGAAAGAGGCCAGATCTCCCCAGATCTCCTTTTATCAGCTGCATGCCCATTCTTCTTTCTGGGTCCTGCAAAGCCACCGCAAGGCAGTCAACGTGCTAGGGGCCTTGGGGCAGAACTCCAGGGCAAGGCCTGGCTGAAGCTCTGCTGGCTAAAAACCCATCTCAGCCACTGTGCACAGCTCACACAGCCTGGAAATGTTGCCGACTGTGCTTCTGTGGTGGTGGTGGGGTGCAGTGGGGTGTACTCTCACGTGGGCCTCATGAGGCTGGGTAAGCAGGCCTCAACTGTAACCTTCCGTCCCCTCTGTCTGGCCTGTGGTAGCCGTGGGCTAGCTCCTGTCCTGCTGCCGTGCCAGCGCCAGAGCATTGGCACACCGGTGCACACGCAGTGCGCTTCCACCTGGTGCCTCAGCCAGCGCGGCCGCCTCCGCCTCCGCCCTTCGCCTGTGTACATGAGCCTCTGCATACCTGGCAGCCTACTCTAGTGCGTAAGGAGCTTGAAGAATAACAGCCAATTTGGAATATTCTCTTCGTTCCTGCCTCTCTCAAAGAAAAACAATATCAATCTGGGATTTGCACCAGAAACCTGAACCGGCAGAATAGGATTTGAAACTGGGAAAATCTGTATCAAAGTCATTGACCTCTAGAAGCTGTCTGCCTGAGGGAAGCTAGCCCAACCTACCGCTTCCTGCCTGTTCACCTCTTCCTCCCTCCCACCCCAGCTGCAGCCTTGAGCCCCAACATGGCCCCTCTTCTTGCCCTCCTCAAATCCTGTAGAATCAACTGCCCAGCACCAGCACAGTTGATTATCCCCAGCGAGATGTATAGCTGATTAAAATGAAATGACCTGGAAGCTGCCACAGTGCGGGGTTGGGATGCTGATCAATAGTGAGACTGGAGGCGCAGGAGCTGGGGCTGGGATTGGGGTTGGAGGCCAGTGATGTGGGGAGGGCTCCAGTGCGGAGCTGGGAGGGCCAAGACCAGGCCCAGGCAGGCCCAGTGGGGGTGGGACCAGAACCCTAGGGTGGGCTGTGTGGGATGAGTGCTCCCTTAGCTTCTGATGAAAGGAAACCTGGCCAGCCCAGTACATTCTGGACCCAGCCCCGTTGCTCAGGTCCCTGGAGCTCACAGCCTCGCCCCAGGCCTATGGTGTATTGGGCGAGCTTGGCCTCAAGCAATGGACGTCTGTCTCTTCTTGCTCTCCGGTCTTTCTCTGTCTCTGAGCCTTCTTGGTCCCCTGCCTAAGTCTTGGTCTTTGTGTGGCTGTCACCTGGCTGCTGCCTCAGGGACTTTTCTGGACTTTCCCCTATTCCCTTCATCCCAAACTCTGGGGCTGAGACATCCAGCCCACCAGACAGCGTCCCCAAGTCCTCAAGCTCAGGCCAGCTCATCCCACGCCCCTTGGGCCCCAGCTGAGTTGAGCTTCCTCTGCCCGGTATGAGGGCCCCCAGGGGCCCTCCAGTGAAGGGAGGGCAGGAGGGAGCCAGGGAGGAGGGGAGCAGTGCTAGCCTGCTCGGATTTCTCCGGTCAGCTGAGCACAACTTTCCATTCGAGTGTATTCATGCAGTGGCTGATTGAGCTCCGCGGTGTCGCTGTGTCGGGCGGGGCTCTGCAGGAGCCAGTAGGCACAGCCAGGCTGACAGAGGCTACAACCACACACACACACACACACACACTCACTCACTCACTTATCTATACAAATGCACCCCCCAACTCACTTGTTACGCACACACCTCACCCTCATCATAAACCTGTTGTAGCCCTTTCCCTTATTGCCCACCTGTCCCCAGAGCAGTTTCCTAACACTCTGGACTTTCTCTCTTACACAACACAGGGTCTGCCTTGACTTCCCCTTTACAGATTCTACGTTGGTCCTCAGACACAGACACAAGAACCCTCCATCCTCTGTCTCCTCTGCAGGCACACCTCCAGGGTGCACACACTCCGAACAGTGGAGATGCACACACAAACATGCCGGTAGCACAGTCACACCCTCCTACAGATCTATCCAGAGCTATCTTTGCTGCAAAAGAAATACACATCTGCATAAAACAGCATTAGCACCAACAAACATTTAAAGCACAGCCTGTTATATACAGTGCAGCAGGCTGGGTCTCACCAAAAGTTTACCTACAAGAAAGGGAGCAGCCCTGCCGGTTTGGCTCAGTGGTTAGAGTGTCAACCCATGGACCAGAGAGTCCCGGGTTCGGTTCCCACTAAGGGGGCATGTACCTTGGTTGTGGTTTGTTG